CGCGGGCCCGGATGGGGGGAGCTCGGGTTCCGCAGCGGTGGACCCTGCCCGGGCAGCGGCCCCCGGCGGGCGCCCCGGGCAGGGGGCCTGGGCTGCTGTTGCAGACAGGAGGCCTGGGCGGGTGCTGCAGACCAGTTTTCAAAGCGACAATGTGAAAAACAGTAAGCACAGGACACATATTTGTTCTGATCTGCAGTCTCTCTCCCACGCTCCTTTTTCCGTGCAAAATTCATGCGGCTCGTTTTTTGATAGAAGTTCATGAAACAAAACCCCAGGAATCTAATTTGACCTTGATAAGTACAAAATGAAGCAGTTAACATTTAAGAATCCATTCTTTTTTTTTTTAATTTACTGAAGTATAGTCAGTTTACAACGTTGTGTCACTTTCTGGTGCACAGCATCATGGTTCAGTCCTACGTATACACACATGTATTCGTTTTCATGTTCTTTTTCATTATAGATGACTACAAGATGCTGAATATAGTTTCCTGTGCTCTACAGAAGAAACTTGTTGTTTATCTGTTTTATATACAGTAGTATCTGCAAATCTTGAACTCCCAGTTTATTCATCCCCACCCCTTCTTGATTTTTAAACTGTGATTACTCTACTGTTGCAGGAAAGCACACTCAGGCACGTCAGCTGTTTACTTGAACGTGGGTATTATTAACAAATATGGACATGAGGTAGCTGTACCTTTAGGAAAGCTGTACTAACACTTGAACATTTTCAGAGTCAGGGTTAGGACGAAGGTGATGCAGGTGTCCTCCCTCCTGAGTCTCCTTCACTCCCACCCTGCTGCCTGCCACGCGCAACACTTCTGCCACATCTGATCAGCAGTGTGTGGGCCTCCCCCCAACACCAAGCCGTTCTCCACACCAGCTCTGTGTCCTGCAGTTTGACTCAGTTCTGGCACTGTCTACCTGGAGAGAGCATTACATTCCCCAGGTTAAGGGCTCAGTCCGACAAGGCTGCCCCCCTCTTCAGACGCCACTTGGAAGTCCAGGTTGTCACCTGTGCTTCTGACCAACTGGCTGTGGATTGGAGGTTTCCATGATCTGCTCTTTGGGTTCCACTAATTTGCTCGAGCAGCTCACAGGACTCAGAGAACACGGAGGGTTAGCAGTTTATTGAAGGATGTGATACAGCCAGACGAGGAGGCGCACAGGGAGAGGCCTGGCGGGTCTTGATGCAGGAGCTTTTGTCCCCTGGAGTCCAGTGTGTCCCCCTCATATGTAGATGTGTTCATCCATCTGCAAGCTCTCTGAGTCCCGTATTGGGATTTTATTCAGGTTTCATCACATATGCATGGGTGGTCATTAACTTCATCTTCAGGCTTTTCCCCTGAAGAGAAAAGGGCTGGGCTGAAAATTCCAGGTTTCTAGTCCTGCTGGGTCTTTCTGGGGAGCAGCCCCCACCCAGGTGCCACCCAGGGTTGCTCCACAAGAACAGAGCATGCTCCTGTGACCCAGGAGGTTCCAAGGGTTTCAGGAGCCCTGTGTCAGGACCTGGCGGCAGAGACTAACATGTGTTTTCTGTTCTCTCACAGTAGGTAAATGAGCATTTATGAAATGCCCTTACTCTTGCAGAAGTTCAAACCTGAGCATTCTCTTTCTGTTGGTTCGCCCCAAGGTGGGCCTTTAACAGAGGGGAGAGCCCCTTCTCTGAGCGTCAGCCTCCATCCTTGCTCCACGCAGTGTCTGCAGGTGGCCAGGCCAGAGGGCTTGGCTGTTCACAGGGGCCTTTTTCCCAGCGGCTTCCCTCTTTAGTTTTTGTCATGCAGTGAAGAAGGGAGCAGAAAAAGACCCGAATCGAGAGTTTTAAAATCCTGCTTCTTCCTGGAGTGGAATGGGTTTAACTCCTGGTTTGTGTGTTTCAGTTTTCATCTTTTTATTGACTCATCTTTTGTTTAGAATGTGCTCTCCAGGCGATAAACCCGAGGCTATCTAGACAGAAAGCATGTCTGAAAGGAGAGGAGGAGACCCTTCCTGAGCAGAGGGCGGCGCTGATGCCCGAGAGCCCCCCACCCCGTCTGGTGGAGTGCACGCCAGCAAGGCCTCTCCTCTCCCCTCCCAGGCTTCCTGTGTCCAGTACCGGCTAGTGGTCCGGGATGCGAACACTCTTCAGATCATCCAGCTGTACACATGCCTGGACCAGATCCAGCACATCGAGTGGTCGGCCGACTCGCTCTTCATCTTGTGTGCCCTGTACAAGAGGGGGCTGGTCCAGGTGCGCTGCCCGTGGCTCGGCCCGCCGCCTCCCCGGGACCCCCTTCCCCATGCAGGGTCCTGCCCTGGGCCCTCCTGGGCAGGAAGGGAGGCAGCGCAGCTCAAAGCCCGCTTCCTTCTAAGGTCATCATAGTTCTCTCGTAGTTGAAGTACTTTTAAAACAAGAAGACACTTAAATATTCATGATCTGTGACCACATTAACTCAGGAACGGGAAGTGTTTGGACGGCAGCCCAGCAGCCTACACACCGTGTGTTCAGGGAGCGTTGGGTGGGGTGTTTTGTTTGAGACCCCAGAGTTAATTAACTGAATAGGGTCTTGGGAACGGCAGAGTGGAGAAACCCTCCAAACTACAGAAAGTGGCGTCACGGAGAAGCGTGGCCGCCTCTGGTGTCTTCCAGGACCAGCCCTTCAGGCTGAGAGCCTAATTAGTGCCCTGATCACTCTCTCACGACCCAGGTGTGGTCTCTGGAGCAGCCAGAGTGGCACTGCAAGATAGACGAGGGCTCGGCTGGGCTGGTGGCTTCCTGCTGGAGCCCGGACGGGCGCCACATCCTCAACACGACGGAATTTCACGTGAGTAGGCGCCCGGATGCCTGCCCCACCTTCCTCCGAAGATGACGTGGGAGCATTCCGGTGGGCGATTGGGAGGAAGAAACACGACTTTGGTCGTCAGAGCGTTATAAG